CTTGTGACCTTTTTCTGTTAGCAAGCTGTGGTTAATATCCACCCTATTAACAGGGTGGCAGTTATTTTGTAGATAACCTATATCTATTCTTAAATGTAAATACAACTTTGCTAAAAGGAAAAATGTTAACATTTCCGTGGCCCTGTAATCTTGATCTAAATGTTAAAGTGTCCTTGTGCACAGCACCATCCCTCACAAAACCAGTTGCACTCTCTTATTCTTTTAAGATCTAATTTTGCAGGTTTAATAATTTTACAGAATATATTTTTATCCCAATAACTGATTTTTAATGATTTATTAAAACTGGACACCACCACGTATAGGGAATTCTATGGTTTCATTCCCATATACTTAATTTGTCCCAATCATATAATTTCTCATTAATGCCAACCATTCTCTTGCCATTAATACAATCTCCAGTAAATGACGTTTGCCAACTTAGATCATACTTTGGACGTCCCCTAGGGGGATACCAAATTTTTCCTTTCCCCCTTTTTTATCCCATGTAACCATTTACCCAGATGGTGGGAAGAGGATGGGGACTTCTTTTATTTATTAATTTCTCTGGTAAAGACAATTGCTCATGATTAATCGTAACTGATGTTTTTGAAACATCCGTTGGCATAATTAATTGACTCAAAAGGGACAATTTGGAATTGTTCAGTCTTCCCGGATCTTTGGTGGGACTATCTAATTTTATGACAAAAACTGTTTGTGTGTCATTTTCTGCATCTTTTGGAAACTCAGGAAACTGCCATGCTGACCAAAACATCAAAAGAGAAAGTAAAAGCAGTACCATGAAGCCGAGGCAGGAACCCTTACAGCTGTAGAAGGACTCGTAGCTGCAGCCTTGCCAACAGCTCTCCCTCCGGTGGTCCTGCCAACTCAGAGAGGGCAGCCCAAGCTGACTCCTTTAGGATCCTGCCATGGCGTGGACCACGCCAAGAGGACACAGAGTTTGTTTCCTCTGGAAGTTGGAACAACAAGGCACCATCTTGGAAGCAGAGAGATGAAACCCTTACTAGTCAGTGAAATTGCTGGTGCCTTAATCTTGGACTTCCAGCCTCTAGAACTGTGAGAAATAAATTTCTGTTCTTTATAAATCACCCAGTCTCAGGTATTTTGTTACAGCAGCACAAATGGACTAAGGTAGTAAAATTCCTGCTTTTACTTACTTTTTCTTTTTGGATTTACTTCCCCTCTCCTCTACACCAACTCACCCATTCAAGTAGTCCATGTTAATTAACAAGTATGTATCCTTTTATCCTTTTCTCTGTGCTCACGTAATAATTCATAGAAATATCTGTGCATAGATTTACACATATGAACAAATAACGAGGTGTTTGTTGTGTCTTGCTTTAAAAAAAATTAGATCACAGTAATGATTTTTTGCATTTCTTTACTCCTTCAATAATATCTTTCAGAGAATAACAAATACTGGAGAGGATGTGGAGAAATGGGAAATCATCTACACTGTTCGTAGGACTGAAAATTAGTAGACACTATGGAAAATAGTATGGGGGTTTCTCAGATAACTACAGATAAATCTACCATATGGTCCAGCAATCCCACTACTGAGTATATACCCAAAGGAATGGAAATCATCATGTTGAAGGGATACCTGCACTCCCATGTTCTTTGCAGCTCTATTTACAATAGCCAAGATATGGAACCAACCTAAATGTCCATCAACAGACGATTGGATACAAAAAATGTGGTATATATACATAACGGAATACTACTCATCCATAAAAAGAATGAAATACTGTCACTCACATCTAGATGGATCAGCTTGGAGAAACTATGTTAAATGAAACAAGCTAGGCACAGAAAGAGAAATACTGCATGTCCTCACTCATAAATGGGAGAAAAAAGAAAGGAAGAAAGAAAAGAAGAAGAGAGGAAGGAAAGAAGGAAGGAAGGAAAGAAAAACAATCACAATAATGCATTGAACTTGCAGAAGGAGAGATTAGAGCTGTGGTTACTAGATGCAAGAAAGGGGGAAGGGGAGAGAAGTAAGTGAGAAATTAGTTGATGGACACATGGGATGATTACATTCTGTAATGATGAACATGTTAGTTATCCTGATTTGACCATCCCACATTGTACACAGGTACTGATATTCAATTCTGTACCCAACACATATGTTCAATCAATTATTTTTCAATAAAAATATCTCTTAGAAATCCTTATAAATCAACTGTATAGCACTAGATGCTCTCTTTTTAGTGGCTGCATGATATTTATTGCATTCTGTGGATTGAACAAGTTACCCCCCAGGCTGTTCCTCTAGGTTTTCAACAGGGGGTAATTTTGCCACCACGGTATAGTAGGCAATTTCTAAAGACATTTTGGCTTGTCACTACTAGAGAGAGGGATGCTTCTGGCTAGTCAGTAGAGGCCAGGAATGTTGCTAACCATCTTACAGTGTACAGGACAGACTCCCAACAGTGAACTAGACTGACCCAAATGTCACTAATGCCCAGGCTGAGACACTCACCAGGCACATGCTTATCTTCCTCTGGCTGAAACACTTTTTCATTAGGTATCACATGGCTCACTCTCTCGCATTTTTCACATCTTTTTTCAATGGCATTTTTTCACTGCAGACTATTTTGACCAGCCTATTTACATTACTTTCCTCCCCCAACCCCAAGGCATACACCCATCTTCTGACCATCTTAATTCTACTTACTCTCCAGTCTTTTTTGCCCTCAACTTTTAATAGACCATGTAACTTATTTATTTATTTATTTATTTTTTATTTTTTATTTTTTTTTCCTTTTTGTCTTTTTTCGTGTCAGGCAACGGATCGCAACCCTCAGTGTCACGCCCGCACCGGACCGGGACCGGCAACGGGATCGCAACCCTTGGTGTTGCTCCCACACCTCGCTCAGCCAGTGAGCGGGAACCGGTCTGTATGTGGGATCCCAACCTCGGCGGGAGCGTCACCGCGCTCTCAAGCGGCTCACTGTAGCAGTGCGCCACCGGGCCGCCCGTAACTTATTTATTTATTATGTTTTTCCATCATCTTTTCCCTCATTCTAAAATGTGAGCTTCACTGTGACAGAAATTTTTGTCTGTTTTATTCACTGATGTATCCACAGGACCTACAACAGTGCCTGGCATTTGATAAATGAATAAATGAATGAACAGATGAACAAATAAATGATCACATTCTCTTATTTCCCTTTTTTTTTGACTGCAAACAATGCTGAAGTAAATATCCTTATACACATATTATTATGAGTTTGTCTTTTTTTTATGTCAATGCAGACAGAATGCTTTCTAACTTGGGTTTAGAAATTGGATTCTGGGTTTTTGAAAGTTAGATCCCGCTTCTAAATTGCACATAGTTTACTCTCGGTTTTCCTGCAAGAGTTTCTTTGTTTCTGTTATATGCAAGTCTTTAAAACATCTGGAGTATATTTCTGTACATGACATAAAACTGGGGTTTAATTCTATTTCTTTTGAGGTGGATAATCAGGTATGCTAGCACCACATTAAATAGTACCTCATTTTCCCACTGAACTAAAATATGCACCTTTGTTATATGTTAAGTCCTCCTAATTACTGACCTCTGTTTCGTGATTCTTTATCCTATACTGTTAAAGCTATAATTTGGTGTACATTAACTTCATGCTTTTTAAGGAAAACAAGTTACTTGGTGAAAGGAAGAGGAAATACATGTTGGTAGGACTAACGGACTGAGACTATTCAATTGAAAGTTAAATGAAGAAAAAACTTTTAAAAAAGCATGGACATTATGATATGTCCAATCTGCCCAGAGTATATAAATAATAAAATTAATGTGTTTTTTTTGTTAGTCATATAATAGTCAAACCAATCTTGTATACTTTTCCTTTGAAAAGTTATTTTAACTTCATGTACTCTTGTTCCTTTTCATTGTGCCTATGCTGTAATTGTTTTGAAAAATATTGTATTAGTCAGGGGTCTCCAGAAAAACAGAGCAAATAGTATGTATAGACATATAGAAAGAGATTTATTACAAGGAATTGGTGCACATGGTTATTACTTGCTCACGCAAGTTTCAAAATCTGCAGTGTGGGCTGGCAGGCTGGAGACCCAGGAAAGACAATGGTGCAGATAAAGTCTGAAGACAGCTTTTGGAGAGCTCCCTCTTACTGGGAAGGCTGGTCTTTTTGTTCTATTTAGGCTCTCAACTGATTGGGTGTGGCCACATTATGAAGGACAATCTGCTTTACTCAAACTTCACTAATTAAAATGTTAATCTTATCCAAATCACCTTCCAAGTGGACATAAATTTAACCATCCCATATATCTTTTATTATTTTTTATCCCTAAGAAAAGCTAGATTTTATCCCTAGGAAAACTTATTTTTTATCCCAAAGAAAAGTCAGATCTCTAAGAAAAGAGCTGAGCCAGCTGGACTTTGGAGTAAAAATACATATGATTACAAGCTTACTTCCACTTTGAGTCTGTTAACTATAAAGCTGTTAAGGATTGCATGCATCTCCCACCACAGGGCAGGAAGCAAAACTTGTCAAGATTTTGTTGATGGTCACGCATTCCCTCACCATTCACTCTTGACATCTTGGCCCCTGCACTTCAGAGTGACAGGAATGGAATAAGTGGTCAGCTCACTGGCTATTGTGACAGCAGGAGAACTCTTATCATTGCCAATTATATCCCTTTCCCTATTGCATCCATTGACCCGAATGCCACCTCCACACCCTTGCCCCAACTAGGGACTTTAATAATAATTGTAGGGTAGAGTGAACAAAATCTCTGCGTTTCAGAATATGAGTCATGGGCTTCCCTTGTTGCAGCAGTGTTGGCTCTGGGCCTATTTATTAATTCAGGGGTTGAAGTAGAAGGGATTAGCCCTTCTTTAATAAAGCCTACTGAACTATACGCTAAGACGGACAGAAGGAATGAACTCTGACATTCACACAAATAGTTAAAGCAAGCTTCCAGTTGAGTGGATTACTTGGCCTGGGAATAGCTACTAGATTTACCTGGTGTGTGATCAGAGTCTGGACTCAATGCTTCAGTAGGAATTCTGCTGCCGATGGACCAGTCCAAGTCATCCTCAGAGGCTTGAGTAAGACCGCAGGCCGTAGACCAGTTGCCTGAAGTTGTTTCAAAATTGCAGCTTCCTGCTGTGCTTGTATATTGTCCTGCGGAAGTAAAAGTATTAATGGAAGTTTCTGGAAATGTGTATCACACTTGCTATTACACTACATTTGTGATTATACCAAAATAGCATCTGTATATTCTATATCTTTATAAATAAATTTACAGAATCAAGACATTTGCACTCACTGTAACATTTTATCTAAGGATTTAGAAGCAGTGCATAATATTGCTATTTATCCATTAAGGAAGTATATGGATTGACTAATAATATTTATAGATGACAGGTAAAACTGTGTTCAAGTGTCTACACATGAACAATGAACATAACATTATGATAATACATATATTTCAGGTTGAATAAATAAACACCATTGGCTGTCTGAATGTTTAATTCAGTCCTTCCGTTCACTCTGGTGTTTGAACAGTACAGACCATCAAAGAGGCAAAGTCATTTACTAAAGAAATGGCACCTTTGGGAGAAGTAGTAAACTGTGTCGGACACAAATCCTCTTGACATGCCATACCAATCACTGCAGCACAACATCTCAGAGCTAGTCGCTAAATAATAAGATAAATTCTCTTCCAAAAGTGTTGAGTGATAACTCATTAAAAATTAAATTATTAACTATAGATCTGTTTTCTTCTTCTGAATGTTCAGTATTTTATTGTGGTCTTTCTTTCTTAGCTCCCACTAATGAGTGAGTATTAGAGATGGGAAAGGGGGGGATGGTTAGAGAGTAATTGGGTAAGGGACACAAAGAATAACTATGATTTGTAATGATGAATATGCTAATAATATCGATTTGATCATCACATACTATACACAAATACTGATAGTCAACTCCGTACCCCATAAATATGTGTCAACAATTATGTTCCAGTTTAATTAATTAAAAAAAGAAAAATTAAAAATTAAATTATTCACAATGAGAAAAAATAATAGATAATAACTGAGTGTCTACTCTCAGTCATCTGTGAAAAGTGCCATCATGATACCCTGTTATCTAGGCTTTCATTTTTCTTTCTTTCTTTTTTCTTTTGCACAGCAGATATTATTTTTGAGCACTCACTGTAAAAACTGACTGTGTTGTGCAGACAGAATGAATTATTGGGTGACTTAATCAGTATAAATCAAGTGAGATTATCATTGACTATTGCTTTCTTTTCAGAAAGATGAAGTGTGTGTTATTTTTAAAATTTCTTCTCGTTCATAACTTTTTCTTAACATAAAACTAACATTAGCATATGGAAGCTTAATAAGGGGAAAAACAAACAAACAAACAAACAAACAAAAAGACCCTTGCTGTTTAAATAGATGCCAAACATACAGCAAACAAAACTTTAACATTTTTATACAAATTGTTCTCTGGATCTCTGAGAGTATTTTTATAAAACAACATGTCACTTCTTAAGCATTACTGCATCTTATCCCTAAAAGCTAAAATTATTTTTCATCATGTACATTTCTTTCATTAATTCTACATGACTATATAATCCATTTTTTTAAGGTTGTCATGCCAGTATCATATGATATAGAATAGGTTTATATTATGCTACAAGATACAGACAAAAATAAGAAATTTCGTTCTCCCAGTGTTTTGCCAACATATCTACAAACATTCAGAATCTTCCAATGTACATTCAAGACAATCATTGTGTGTTCTTTAAAATGATGTCACATATATGTTCTGTATTATTGTATTTCTATGTAACTGACTTCCTGACATATAAGCTTTACAATAATTATTTAAAGTCATTTTCCATTTTCTGTGACCACCCTTTTCTGTTCCACCTTACTTCACATATGACTTTATCTTTGACTCTAAAGAAACAAACCTATACAATCAGGATAAGTTGCCTTATATTTTATTCTCTCTACCTCAAAATATGTCACTTTTCCTTTTCTCTATTCTAAGTCCAATCTTTGCTTATGATCTCAACTCCTTATCAAAACACTGTTAGTATTCCACAGCTTCATTTCTTTGAAAGTTATACAACTTTTCCATGTCCTTCAATCTTACGATCTTTACTGATTTCTTTCTTATAAGTTGGGAATACAGCCAGGCTGCTCCTCTTGATAATTTCAGCTTCATTTCTTTGAAAGTTATACAACTTTTCCATGTCCTTCAATCTTACGATCTTTACTAATTTCTTTCTTATAAGTTGGGAATACAGCCAGGCTGCTCCTCTTGATAATTTAAAAATATATGCATGTGCTTAAATTTCTCACTCTGTTTGTACTCATTCATCCTTTCCCATGGCTTTTCACACTTTCAAGCAGATGGCCTACGAACCTACAACCACGGCAAAAGGCTGACAAACATCATCAAATGCTTTTTGGACATGCCACTTAGAATGTAACAACCATCACCTCAAAACCAAAAGCCTAAAAGAAACTCCTCATTCACATCTCCAGATGGGTTCTTCTTTCTGCGATTATCCTTAATTTCGTAGCATGAATTTTCTCTCTATTTTTAAACACTCAAACCTTCAGTGTTACCTTTGATTCTATAGCCTTCATTTCCATATTCACTCTGTCACCAATACCTATAGATTCATCTTTTGAGAAAGTGTTTAGTTCACTCCCTTCTCTGCAGTTCATAACCACTATATTGGTTCAAGCCCCTGGTTTATTTCATCTCTTTTTCTTTAGAGTAGCCTTCTTCCTATCAATCTTACAAACTCAAACCACATTAATCATCTTTAAGGCTGCTCTTGTGCTACTTTAATATCCCTGTTTAAAATATCTTTGCTTAAAATATTCAGTTTTTATCTCTACTTGAAAATACTCTCCAAAATCTCTAGTCTTGAATGCAATAACCTTTACTTTGATGCAAACTATTTTTAGAATGAAATATGTCTCATTTTCAAAACTGTCTCTACTCCATGCAAATTCTTTAGAAAATTATCTCTTAAATATAACCTGACTTTTTCAATGTGCATATTTAGGAATACTTCTATCTCTCTTTTATGAATGTGTTCTCTAATGGTTGGTTGCTCTTTTAACTGCAATTCCTTTACTTTGTCAATCAAGACAGAACTGCAATTCTACCTGGATATTCAGGTTCTTTCACTCAGATACGTAGTTCAAGGGGGAAACAGCCCCCTCCTTGGCTCCAGAGATGACTCATGTTTCATCTAACCAACATTCTCTCCCTGTCTTGGTTCTTTTCGGCACAGTGTTAGAATGCAACTCTAGACAACACGACTTACTGAGGAAGAGGCTCCTAGGAAAAGTTTGCCTTGTTCTTAAAAAAAGTCAAAAGAAAAAAAAATCTGTTTTTTTTTTTTTCAGAGTATAGTACAAAGATAATTGGAACTGAAGAGATTATATGACAAGTTAATTCTGGAAGGAAGCCAGTTATCTGAGCAC